CACCTTAATACATATTTCACAAACAAAAAACCCAAAGGACTGACTGACTGACTGAGTTTGGTTTTACGCCGCTTTTAGCAATATTGCAGCAACATCACAGCGGGGGACACCAGAAATGGGCTTCACACATTTTACCCATGTGGGGATTCGAACCCGGGTCTTCGGAGTGATGAGCCAACGCTTTAACCTTTAGACTACCCCACCGCCCCAAACCCAAAGGAGGAAACATAACCCGTATATCTACATTAATACCAAACACACTAACCTCTGTGACACCTTTCCTCTTAAAACATTTGATGAGCTGTTAGATCAAGTTGTTTGCATCAGTGCCAAGCTATTTTGCTGATTTTCTTCAGTAATGTTATCACTATCCTAACTCAATATATCACCACGTAACAGTTATCAAATTCCAAAACAGCAATGAATACAAAATACGCTGATCAGTAAATTACTTTACTGCAAAGCTGAAGTTTAAGAATCATAAATAACCCTGAGAATCACCGAATTGTAAAATGCTGATATATATATTTTGCCCTTGAAAAGCAAAACATTACTATAAACCTACCTGCCCTAATAGTAATAAAACAGTGAGGCTGCTCATATCTACCAGCAACATATCACACATTTTCAGGTCATATCATTTAAAAAACCTGGCAAATTACAAATTATGTACATAAATTTTAAGTGTAAGGATCTTATTGCTCAGTATTGGTTAAACAACATACTATCAACATCAAATATACAAACTACATTACAGACAATAGTTCAAAGAAATTTGGAAAATATACTGTTTGAAGATATATCAACTAATTTGCTATGATTGCCTATACAAAAGAGAATGTATTCAAACTTTATACATGTCAAATTTAGATTATGGAATCTCTAAGAATAATCATTGCATATTGGAATCACATTACAATCTTAAACATGAGTCAACAAACACTTAAAAAAGTTGGATAACATGTTAACCATATCTTTAGTTTCTTTGAGCGGCATTTTAGAAGTTGTAAAGATGAAGGAAAACCAAGCTCTATGGATAGTCAACTTCTTTATTGCAATGAATGTGGCGTTTCAGTGTAGATACTAACACCGTTATCAAGCAAGTAAGTATCTACACCGAAATGTCACATTCACTACAATAAAGAAGTTGACTATCCATAGAACTTGGTTTTGCTCCTATATCTGTAGTTACATTTTCTCAAAATTTCTCTAAAACTGACGAAAAACATGTCTAAAATTATCAACTGTCAAACTGCACAGTCTTTCCTACAAGTTCCTCATCAATGGCATCTTCTCAAGAAGTTTAGCAGCTCGTTGCGTCATGTGTGGAACTCATTAGTATGGGAATAGCCTACTGTTCTAAGATCATACTATCCAGTGATAGAAGGTGGTGACATGTGAATATATTGCATCTTTGCACCTAATAAAGGAACTCCTAGTCTATCACATCAATATAAGGAACAAATTCACAAACAAAATATCACCTCACAGTACATGAAGAGGCAAAGTGATTTACACTCTGCAGAAGGGATGGGCGGAATGCTGTTAGGAAGTTAGAGAATTAACCCTTACATAAAGAATAGTCGGGTCACATCATAACAATCCTCTTTACCTGTTTCACGAGAATAAATACAGTCTGTGATCAAATTTGACAAAATTGTGTATACAATTTCTGATCTGTTAGAAATAAACTACCCAAAGTTTGTAGAAGACCTTGATTTATGATTTTGGGATTTGGACACTATTAATATATACTTTAGAGGTATCTTGTTTGTTTGATTTTTTAAAGTAAACATGTCAAGTTAGTTAATGTCATGACAAGGAGAAAAACATATCTGTACATGAACAAAATCAGCCCTGTTATATACCATTGAAAAAAGGTAGGGGGTATTCCAGTTAGCGAGCATACCACTAGCCAATGCCAATGCATATGAGAAAAAGTAATATATATCCATACAGATGAAACATTTCCAAAGGAATGGAATAAATTGTCACATTTTCCCATAATTTCTCTTCATCAGCTGTTTCCTCCTTGGCTTCATCATTTGCATTTTCTCAATCTTGTAAATCCAATATCCCCTACTTTTTTTTAATGGTATATATTATACACCAGTGTTCCCACAGGGAGCAGATGTTAATATCAAATATGGACAGAGTGCAGAGGAAAAATCACTCCAGACAAATAATACACAAGAAATTCGACACAACAAGTTTGTTGTTGTCCTGATCCATCGAACAACCAAAACCTCTTGTACAAAATAATGACTCGTACAGAACAACAGTATCAGACTCAAAGACATTCCACAAGTGCAGTATAACCATGAACAAACAATATGTCAGTGTGGAAATAGCATCTAGCTTATTAGTAAGGAAAACAGAAAGGGCAACCTTGTATTGGACCAAACTATTACTAACATGGAAATGCTAGGGAAGATACGGCAAGAGGGATTCAATAACCTAAGATGTGTGTGTGCTGAAGACATTATATATAACATGAACCGGACGGTTGATTGACATAAGACGTAACAATACTTCATCAAATCATTGGCAAACTCACACAACTGTTCATCATATGGCTTTCGCAATATGCACTACTCAAAACTAGTTTAAAACACCTGATCTTTTCCTATAACTATAGTAAATTTGTCATGGCTGATTGGTCTTGCATCACGTAGCCTTTCAGTTGTGGGTGTTCCTTAACTTATTTTGACTAGTGTGTATACATATATATATATAGCTAGTGGTAATCTGTTCTGGAACTATATGATTCACTGACACAATGTCACACAAGCTAACGACCATGTTGTAGATGGTGTGTTTGTGTTTAGTTTTCATTCAAATTGAAAACTGGGGGATGGCAGCAGTGCCATGGTAGGTCAACACACAAAATAGAGAAACAAAGACAAAACACATGGTACCCTTCCAGATACCAGGGAATGGCAGAAGTATAAAGAAGTATTGCAGTGTGCATAGTTAGATAGCATAGGAAAATAGACTCTTGGACAGTTGAAACAGTTTATGAAAGGAAAATTAGCCAATAAAATGACCACAAAAGGTACTACTTACTCTTTGGTTTCGTGATTGTTGCTTTTTACATCAAATTTCAACATAATTTTATGAAATTATATGTTTCAATAAGATATGCCAACACCATGTTTCTTGATAACACACAGCTTTTATAAAAAGAGAAATTAGACATATGAAAATGCTGAAAACCTTGGTACAGAACATTATACATCATATTTTCCAAAATAGACTCTGCCACAAGTTAATAGGATATGCAAGAATGTTTGGAAGATAAAATCATATAAAAATATGCAAGGTGTTAGGTAAGAAAGAACAACAAGTTTCAAAACAAGTGAACAGTTGCAGCAACAGGTTACATGCATGGGCAAATCTACCTTTTCCTTAGTGGTCCACAACATAAACACTGATAAACTGGTGGCATGTAGTCTGTGTACATGTTAGTTTTAGCTAACCACTTGCTGACACTACCCAGTCAGACATGATCCACTTCATGGTCGTTCCTCCTAATGGCATTTTGGTCAAGTGGACAATGGGTATCAGTAAACTTAAATTAAAAACACTGAAACGGAAGAGTTAAAATGGACAATTCATGTAATGAAAACCATTCACATATTTTAAACAATCCAGATATCAAACATATTCTACAAACTGTTCTGAAATAGCAATGAAATGTCAATAAATATAAGAATCGGTGTAAAATAAAAGTTGAAAAACAAAACAAAGTTGCCTTATGTACAGATTGACACAGCAGTTTTCATAGTCCACGCAAGTCAAAACTCAGGACACTTGTGACTTTGTTTGATCTCCTGTGTTCAATCAATGTATTGCCCTTTTCAAGGATAAGTACATACATGCACAAGCTTTCAATATACAAAGCCTGGATAAATATAACCTAGTTTTCGATGCAGTTTTTGATTGCTCTTGACTGACTGTGATTCTGGTCTTTCTTCATCAGCCTTGTATACTGTATTTCAAAGTAAAAGTTTAAATACCGAATATTAGAAGAAATGTATTAATCCTTGACAAATCTAACTATCAGCCTTTTTGTGTTGACATGTCAAAAGAGGTAAGACACTTTAACAGCACTGTGATCGAATATACAAGAATGATAACATATTTCAATTTGGGAATTAACAGACTAGAACCCCGGAATCTCAAATACGACCCTGCACAGCATCTGTAGAGACTAAGTAAACTTATTCAGTTTTATTCGTTACACTGCTAAACTGAGTCTAACAAAACCTAGTAGAAGGTCGCGTCAGCTAACCTTTGAGCGACCTATGACCATCCAATCAAAGGCGAGACGGCCGAACGGATTTAACCAATCAGACAACTACTACTTGTTAGAGTTAGGCGGGACTTACAAAACGTTTTTTGAATTTTCTCTTCCCTGGTCGTTGACACTGATCTATCAACAAACGAAAATCCACATAAAACACAGATATTTGACCATGTAGTATATATATGCTTATGGGTTTCTAATTACATTAATATTATTATTATTATTATATTATAGTAAGATAACATCCTTGAATATCGACAAAAACGATATTTTCAGCGACTGTTTACTCATTTCACGTGTATCACTCGGAAGCAATCGTGTGGAAAATAGCATTCGGAATCGTTTTGGGGCTAAAGGTTCAAACGGTATGTGCGAATGTTAACTTTTGCGATTTGGTAAGCTGTGTTCTGATTGGTCAGTCCAAAAGGTTAGCTGACGCGCCCTTTCACTAGGTTTTGTTAGACTCAGTATAGCAGTGTAACGAATAATACTGAGCCGAAGTTTACTTAGACTGAGTATCTTTAATAACAGGTAAGCTGTAGCAATGGCATGGCTTAAAGGTAGGCAGGTGCGTAGCAAGCCAATATTTTCCGTGTAAGCCTGATAGGTTGCAAAGCTTTTTGTATTTAGATAGTATTGAGGACCTGCCGAACTTTTCCCGCAACAATCATGTGTAAGCCTGGGCCTTTTCTCATAATGGTGGCTACGCCCCTGGCAGGATACATGACAACCACCAAAACCTGCACACAAATCAAAACAGGCTACAATGTAAATTCAACGTCTTGCGGCAAAATTATTCTCAGGTACAGAACCTGGAACCAAACCACGCAAGAAAATATTTGAACAAGGCAGTGTATTTTGAACCAAAAGAAGAATATACTGATTCTAACCATGTGTGAGATGTTCAACTTGCACTAAAACCTTAAATACTTGTTGCCCTCTGTGTGCTTCAGCCATGTTCTTATCTGTAGTAACGTACATGTAGCAAGTATAAATCTTACAGACATATTATAAAGCCGACAAATCGTCTTATGTTGTTTCTATATCTGGTGACAGTATCACTCTACTGGAGTTCACAACAGAGACTTTGGGTTAAATGTTCCATTAATCATGTAAATAGTAATTTAGATATGTTCCTGCATGTCAACTGATGTAGCTTGAAAACCCATAATGCCAGTCTTAGCTGTTCACCAGGTTGGTGACAAACAAATCACAGCAAACTTGGAAAAGTAATTATGTTTCAAGTATGCCCAAAGATCAGATGACTGTGCAGTCCATGCCTCAGAGACAGTCCGATTCTAAACAAAACATCTCCAATCATCCTACAACACTATGTTACACCATTCCTTCGACTCAACCAACATGATATATGACATTATAATTTTGGTTTGTTTGTTGTTAAATGACACTGTATGGCAGCGGTCTGTAAATAATCCAGTCTGGACCAGACAATCCAGTGATCAACAGCATAAGCATCTGATATTATACAAGGAACAAGAAAGTAACAGACAAAATAAGAGATAAAACCCATAAATGCCCTCATGGTGCATTGTTGTTGGCACAGATTAATTTCATTTCATATCTCATGGCTTGTCATGGCTACTTCAACTGAAACTGAGTTGAAGTATCTTCCATATTAATTTAGGAACATTTGTGATAAACAGTGGTTATATTACTAAATAATGTGATGTGTTACAACTGTAAAAACATTTTCACATATTTTCAAAACGGTGAAATCTGTCAACAATGTGCTACAATGATATATCTCAGATATATGAATAAATATATTTAAGAGAGCATATATTTGAGAAAATACAGATTTGATTTTACTTAAGTGTATTTAAAGCAGTTAAAATTTTAGACTAGCAATACAAGTTCATAAATATTCCAGTTTGCGTGTATTCTATACACACAAAAACACCAGGAATTTGCTAAAAATATAACATAATCATTTCACCATAAAAAAGTTCAACAAACACTTATCACACTTCATGGCAAAAAACAACTTCAATTATAAACGATCCATGTGATAAATTATAAAATCCTGTGTCCGTCTTCATAACTCTCTAACAGAAGACATTCAGCCAACATTTTCAAAAATGCCAAATGAAATCACATGACAATGAAATGCACTCTGAAACATTTCAAACATGTTGAAAATATGAGTGTATTGACACATCTCAATTACCCAGTTGGTATGGCCACTGATTGTTAACGTCCAACAAGAGCAGATGCAGAATAGAGAAGTGTAATATTTTGAATCTTTAAACAAAAATGCTGTTTGTTTGGTTTTGAAAAAGTGTCCGGTAAGATTATTGTAGTCACTGTAATCTTAAAACATCAAGTGTCATCAAAACATCAACAGCAGTACTTTGTAATACTAACTCTGTAATGTGGTCATCATTGTACTGGAACATATTCAGCTTGTTTCTCTTCATTCTCCCCTTCATCTGACAATATCATTAGCTTTCATTGTTTGTTTGTTGTTTAACGCCGCTATATATTCAAGCTATATGATGGCGTCTGTAAATAACCGGCTCTAGATCAGACGATCCAGTGATCAACAACATGAGCATCAATCTACACAGTTGGGATACAATAGCATGTGTCAACCAAGTCAGCAAGCCTGACCACCCAATCTTGTATGTCGCCCCTTATGACAAGTATGAGTTGCTGAAGACCAATTCTAACTTGGCTCTCAGTATCATTAGAAATGAATAGACATGTTCATACACTGTCCATATCGTCCTGCTGTGTGTGAAATATATAGTAACTTTTCCAGCAACCCTAACCCAAATGTATTCTTACACTATTCTACTTCACTGCAAAACATCTTTATACTGGCCATCAGTTAAAAACAAGCGGCATGTCAAGAACATTACCCTTGACAAAAAGAGAATGACTAATATATGACCCCCAAAAAAACATGCAAAAACTATTGAGTATATTTCCGGGATTCAGCAGCATACCAAACAGTCTAAGGAAATAGTTTACAGACAAGAATGTATAATGAACTCGTACTGGCGCTGGTACAGATAGATTTCATAACTTTCACTTATGAGATGACATGACAGCAGATGATGACAGACTATAATAGCAGGTCATGGCAGAGTTATTCACATACACGTCACTGTCTGCTTTCTGAACTGTTGATACAGTACTTGTGAATGCCAAAAGTTTCAACTGGTTATTCTTCAGTCTTCTTTTAATGTATGTTGTACAGGACCTTTCTTTTCTTTTCACCAATTTAATATGGTGGATATTGATTTTTCAAATCATTCATATTTCAGTACACTTCTGTTTCTCAATCACTGAATCATAATACATCATTAATTGCTATCAGTTCTCAAAATATGAGAACAAACTGTTACATACAGTTCATAATTCATTTGTAAAATGCGTAGCATCCGGTATAATGTGAATGATATCCGTGAGGAATGTTATGCATTTGAGAGGATGAGAGTGAACTCCACACGCCACACTGTAGGACTTACCAATGATGAGTCCAATGAAAAAATATTTAGTCCGGCTCCTCATTTCACCATCTTCTTCAAAGAGATGAACACATGGGACATACCCTTCTCTTAAGCAGTTTCAATATGCTGTATAGATCAGCTGGTATATCTCCTCACAGATGCTGAAGCCAACTCCAGACTTATACACCTTAAACAACCTTTCAAAGCAGTTTGTTATACAGTAAAACCATGTTTGTCAATCTCCCTTTGAACGATGATTCCCATATGATGGCTGTTGGACATACAACTGAAGGGCCGTTACCACATGAAGTGTTAATGCAGGTAATTGTGCTTCCAAACTGACATGATAACCCAGCAGATTACCGTGATGTTCCTTGGATCTGAACTTAAAACATCTCAACTAGTTTGACAAGTCCCAGTGAGGAATTGATCCCGCAGGAAATGCCAAGAACTAAGAAGAATGCCATCATCATTCCAGCAGTGCCCGCGATTTTCTGGTGCTACTTGTCTGAAAGATAATGAAAACACCATTTATATAACCAGTCAGTATGGACTATCTTCAACAAGAAATATATCTAACTAAATCAGGGTGGTGGGGTAGCCTAGTGGTTAAAGCGTTCGCTCGTCACGCCGAAGGCCCGGGTTCGATTCCCCACATGGTTACAATTTGTACATATTACTGGAATATTGCTAATACTCATAGTCAGTCAGTCTAACTAAATCAAAAACAGCAGTAGCACCAAGTAATCTTCGCCTTTTGAAATATGTCCCAAAATCACAAAAGGAATGTCATATACATCACTAATATAGCTGGAATATTGTTGATGACAGGACAAAAAAACATTCATACACATCATAATACAAACATCGCTTTACTGATAGGAGTGGTGGGGTAGAATAGTGGTTAAAGGTTAAATTCCCCATATGGGTACAATGTGTGGAGCCCATTTCTGGTGTCCCCGCATGATATGGCTGGAACATTGTTAAAAGTGGTGTAAAACCATACTCACTCACTACTGATCGGAACGCTACGTAGACTTGAGAAACAAAAGCTCGTATCTAATACAGGTTAAACAGTGTTTGATATTAATCATAAAAGTTGTTCTAGTCATGAGAGAAAATAGTCCAAACATGTGGTCCTGTGCATAGAGCTCAGGTCACAAATCAGTTAAAGTTAAGCAAAGTTGAACGCGGAGAGTCCTTGGATGGGTGATTGTGTTTGGCAGCTTGACTCCTGAGAGTTTCTAGGACTTCAGTCCTGCCCCACAATGAAACAAATGTGGTCTCACCTTAGGCAAATGAGTTTGTTCAAAATTGCCTCTGTTCATCCAGCAGAAAATGGGTAAGTCATATGCAGGGGTGGAAATAACTTTAAAACGGCTAGTGTACTCCGGTACAGTGGCACATGTGAAATCACTTGCCCTGATAATTTTTCCACTATACCGGCTGTTTTCTTGTTGAATTTTTTAAATAAACAACATAATTAACATTGGAAAGTCAACTGACGCCGGTACAGTGTGATATACGAATTTGCTTGCCCGACAGAAAAAAACACTGGACTCGGATGTCGGGCAATGGGTTATTTCCATCCCTGCCTGTGCATAGAGCTCAGGTCACAAATCAGTTGAAGTTAATCAAAAGTTGAACGCGGAGAGTGCTTGGATGGGTGATTGTGTTTGGCGGCTTGACTCCTGAGAGTTTCTAGGACTTCAGTCCTGCCCCACAATGAAACACATATGGTCCCACCTTAGGCAAGTGAGTTTGTTCAAAATTGCCTCTGTTCATCCAGCAGAAAATGGGTACCCGGTTGGATAAAGTCATGTGACTATAACCTTCTAGCGCCTAATAATGTTGTGCTGTTTGAGCTTTGAGCATGCCCCTTTGTGATGTGGAGTAGTGTGCAGTATAAATACCCTCATTATTATTACCCCTTGTACTTACTTTGGTGCATACATCATACACAAGCTGCTGAAGTAGCCGCTGGTGAATGCCATCAAAGCTGCACCGATGATGTAAACATAGTCATTGTTGATGAGGACAGGGATCGTGCGAACTTCTGGGCGAAAGTTACACAGCATATAGAATGGGATGAAGAACAGCCCACGGATAAGGATTGGAATCCACACAAAGCGGGAGGTCCAGGCTGAAAGTGAAAACAGTGATAACTTGCACAAAACTCCTAAATGATACACAAGTATTTGTCAGAACAATTATAAGGTTCTTGAATATTCTTCTGGGGCAAATATCAATCAAATTATGACATATGCGAAAGGGACTGCAATTCTGTAGTGAGTTACATCAAATGTAACCACATAGCACCAAAATGACAGAATTCTACAAAGTGTAGAACTAGAGAAGGGCAGCAGCAGGTGTAAATCAGGCAGGGCCAACTTAGCTTAGAGCTCTGGAGTGAACTGATATTTTGAAGCACTGGAATGCCTGATAACGTATTTAGTTGCCTTTTACAAGATGAGGACGTATACATCTTGAGCGGGGAGAGATGGGCTTGAACATCATGTTTCATGACGATTGCACATACAGTCAAATCCCGATGAGTCGAATCGCTGGGGACCAAGTATCAAATTCGACTTATCGATGTATTCGAGACATAGGTATGTCTATGAGGGTAGAAAAAAAGATGATCCAGTCCTAATTCTTCCGCCTAAGCATTTGTTTATCTAATGATTTCCATATCACTAATAGGGACACCTTATCAGTTCCTGTCTGATTAGCACAGACAGTGATTTCCGTAAAATCACTAATCTGCCTTTTGAACTCACCCGTCAATGGCGGAAAGGTGTGAGCCGGGCTGGTTTGTTAATTAGATCAGTTTGCTACACCAATCAACTTCTCATTGACTGACTTCGGCTTATGTATACAAGATTGCTGTTGTTTGAATCTCATGGGTCCAAATTTCTTCTCGAGTCATCGTGTGTATTTATGAGACGAATTCGTGTAACCGGTATTCAAATGATGACAACTATAACAGGGAATGGTCGGGACCGACAGGTACTTTTCGAGTTATGCATAATATTCGAGACACCGGCATTCGACTCATCGGGATTTGACTGTATATAGTGATATCAGAGACCATATACCATATTTTAATGTCTTCTGGCAAGACTCAGGTAGGGACGTAACCACCGACATATGGTCTCTGCTTGCACTCTCTGGACAGACAATTTATCACTACACAATGTGGGCAGTTTGGAAATATACAGGACAACAGACAGTTGGTACATCATCAGTTGCCTCAAGCCAAATTCAAGACAGTTGATTTAGTTCATTGTGAAAAGATATGATGGGTCACAGAACAACTTGACCATCTCCACTAACATTGCCAAAGCGAACCCAACTCATGACCAACGATGCTTACCACTTTGACCACTTCAGTTGTTATGTTTCCAAGTAAAGCAAAGAAGTTGAAGTTAAGGAAACAGAAGATTGGCTTGAAATAGGTATCTGAAAGGAAGTAGATAATGTAAAACAATGTCCACGTTTGGCACTGACACAAAAACATGTCTCCTTAATACATAAGTGCCATCATGAGAAAAGACAGAAGATCCAACCACTTCTCCTGAAATCCCCAATCATTTAAATCTGTGCTACATGTCATGAACATGTTTCATATAAGATTACACGAACAAATTAAACTTCTACACAGGACACAGCAACACCCTCCCTGAAGACAAGTACCCATTCCATCAGTCTCACGCCCTTGGTATGTAAGACAGGTCCTTTTTGACTGTGGTTGCTCCCTGTGTAAGGATGGTAGATTAGATCAAAATGTTACTTCACATCCTTAGCAAAGTCAGCAGATCTCAAGAGGTCAAGATCATATTTAAAGACAATGAAAAGTTTATGTTAAATAAATCATGGGAAAGAACAACAAATACTGCTAATACTGTAAATTGTAATAAATTTTCATTGTTTTTCACCATTTCGTATTTTCATAATCATGGCTAAAGTCACCGTGTTGCATACATTTTGGCCAGCAACAGGAAGACTGTAATTTATAGGTTGCCCCTTTCCCCGGTGTCATGACATAATACTCTAACTGTACATTTAACAGTATAACATCTAAAGATATTAATAATACATATGACTAAATGTTCAAAGATGTCCCCACTACAGTAAGGAAATGAATTCAATATGTTTTGTCCATGGACAGGATATAAGCTCTCACCTGAAATGGGGAAGTGGATTCTCTCAATGTCACTCTGGATGGCAGGGAAGAGTATCAATGTCACGTAGAACACAAACCACACACAGAGTATCAACACCCAGATCTGTAACACATCAAACACATGGTCTTGTTAATATAGGGGTGGCTTCGTAGCCTAGTAGTTCAAGTGTTCTGCATCACGTTGAAGACAAGGTCTTGATTCCCCACATGGGTAGAATGTGTGAAGACCATTTCTGGTGTCCCCCATCGTGATATTACAGAATATTGCAAAAAGCAGCGCAAAACTAAACTCACTCATTCTTGTAAATATCACATGCACAGATTTCTGTTTACGTGGATGGAATGAGTACATGTTTTAACAACTTACAAAGAGTCTAAAATACTGTCCAGAGGAGTGTGATGCCAGCTTACAAAGTGTAGTCACTGAATTCTTTACACATGAAACTTTTTATGTATCATGACATCAACTACTGGTGTTTGTCGTTTAATGCCACAATAAGCATACCCACATGTTCATGACTGACTGTGAATATGGAGTGTTCATGACTAACTGTGAACATGGAGCGTTCATGACAACCAGGTGAACATGGAGCGTTCATGACAACCAGGTGAACATGGAGAGTTCATGACAACCAGGTGAACATGGAGTGTTCATGACAACCAGGTGAACATGGAGAGTTCATGACAACCAGGTGAACATGGAGAGTTCATGACAACCAGGTGAACATGGAGCGTTCATGACAACCAGGTGACCATGGAGCGTTCATGACAACCAGGCGAATATGGAGAGTTCATGACAACCAGGTGAACATGGAACGTTCATGACAACCAGGCGAATATGGAGAGTTCATGACAACCAGGTGCACATGGAGCGTTCATGACAACCAAGTGAATCCAGGATACACACCCATAACCACCAGACCGTGACACGACTAAGTCTGCACATTGAACAAAAACAACTGATTCCCTTTCTGGTTGAGTAATATGTTTAATGAAGCTTATGCTGCTTTGAATGATGTTTTCATTGTATTACCTAAACAATACACTGACAGTCCAGAGATGGCAATAACTACATCAGATGGAATAACACAATCCTTTTGAAACAAAAGCAAAACGTCAATACAGTGAAGCCCCGTTAGTCCGGACTCCGATAATCCGGATGTCTCGGCTCCCAGACGATTTGAGCTTGTTACCAATCTATGCCTATTTAATTTGCCTCGATAATCCGGAAATTCGGTTTCCGGAACCGGACGGTAAGTAGCTGTAACCAATCAGTAAAATAAACAGTAAATTGCTTCACAGTCCGGATGCTGTAAGTCGTGTTCACGAACCATAACAACACCCCCGGCGATGTTTACTTAACTGGCCATAAACAATAAAAACTCGGTGTCATGGAGTTCACAAGATGAACTCTTGTTAACTTTTGAGAAATGTCTATTAAGGGTTGTTGTTTTAATTAGACATTAAAAGCTCCCGACTGAAGATGCTGTACATTTACACTTTGATTGACACCACAATACAAAGACGTGGATGACAAGTGAGCTGTTTTGTGATTGGTTAATGTACTTTGACAGACAGATGCGGTGTCCGTGGACTTAAAGTGATTTTGCTTCGCTAACTTTGTGAAATGTGACCAAATACCACATCTCATATTCAACCGATGGATGCAGGAATAATTCGGACATTCAAGGCATACTACAATAGATCGCTTGTTAGCCATTACCTCACCTGTGCTGAGGAAGGACGTGATCAGACACGTCGGATCAATATGCAGATGCCACTCGGTAAAATTATTGATGTGATGACTTCAATGAGGAAGGTTAAACGAACACAAACAACAATGAAAGACCCCTTTTGCTATCACTATATTATTGTTGAGCTTGCTATTCATTGTTTTATAAGCTTTACATTAAATGCTTATTTGTTTTATCCAGATTCGTGTCGTTTTTGTAATAGTAAGGGAAGCAACTATTGCTTGAACTTTGGTCTTGATTCAGTAGTCCGGACTATTCGCAAACCGGACGAATTTGCTGAGAAACGCAACCGTCCAGATTAACGAGGCTTCACTGTATATGAAAAGGGAAATGCTTCATCAACACCATAAATACATGCTAACATCTTAAGATCAAATGAGCAATGGCAGCATCTGTACACAGAGACTCAACCATGGTACATACCTCTTTGAACACAGACCAGTATCTACGGATCGTCTGACCACAGGACTCTCTCTGGTTCTGAGAAGGAGATGCTTCTTTCTTCAACTTCACCAGCGTTTTGAAGTGACGGTAAAATCTAAAAAAAAAAAACAATTTTTACTGAACCCAACATGCAGGATACACATCGATTTTATTATCAATTTCCTGTCATGGTTGTACCATGTTTGAAATTATGGAAAATGAAAGTTCAAACGGTGCTTGTCATTACCCCAACATTACAAGTTAAACATCTGAAGGGTCTTCTAGATTCAAGTATAGTCTGTCAACCTAACAACCTCTCATTTTATTCGTTTCAATGTAAAATTGTTTAAATGAACATTCATGTTTCTCTGTGACTTAAGAGGAACCTATTTTTAATGTCATGATGATTGCCTAATTAAAAACATTACCTATATAACTATCATTATTTTATTCGTGATTGTTTTGATCTACTCATTCCAGGTGAGTGTTCAATTGATGTAATGTCTGACAGGTGAGGTAAGCAGGTGTTTGACGTGCATGATCTCGGGTCAGATTTACCCTTGTGACCACTGACCACTGAAGGCCTTGAACATACCTCGTACAACAATGTACAGCATTATCTCCCCTGAGAGATCATCAATGGATACGAAAAAACCCTGAAGGCCTTGAACATACCTCGTACAAAAATGAACAGGATTATCTCCCCTGAGAGATCATCATTGGATACGAAAAAAAACTGGGGTTTGTCTCAAAACAGACTTTAATGTATTCAGCAAAGCAGTTTCCATCAAAGCTGAATGATAATTGTGTGTTGTGTGGCTGCAATTTGCTTTTTCCAAGCTTACCACTTTTGTAACTCTAGTAAGCACTAGCATTCAGGATAATGCAACAACTGGTTCCATCTATAGCATTACATACCATATATCGTTAACATAAGACAAGCTTTTCATACCCAGGATTACAGGCGTTCAGTATACACTGTGTTTTTTGTAAGTAAAATTTCACATTTTGTCCAATACTGTTCCGGGAACTATATTAGTTTTGGTTTATAGGCTTCCATGAAACCTTTGTTCATACTATGCTTTTAAGCAAATGAAGTTAAGATGCAGGAGCCAGAAAATGAGCAGACTGTTTTACTGTTACCTATTTCGTATTGCACTGTGTCAACACATAAAATGGTGCCATGAGTTCTACACGATCAAGCAGCATGTATGTGCTGATGATGTGCTTTGTTCAGGGTTGCTGTACAGATGGGGTACATAGATAATTTATAAAGATAAGTGAGACTTTGATCATCTTTGTTTGTGCAAACAATCACTCAACCAACGTCACAAAACCCTAACAAACTCAAACTCAACTCAAAATCAAGACCTGGCTGACAGGGTCACTCCAAGACAATCCAAGTCAGTTAAGCTACATTACATATAAAGCTTGAAATAAATAAAAAAACAACTCAGGCTCGTGAGTTTTGAGGACATTTCTAGCATTTGGCCTAGGACTATATTCCAGCAACTGGAGTGGAATGAGTATCAGACAATTACACATGGTAAGCTTAATCTCTGCATAGAAGACAATGCCTAGCAAAATCAATTTAGAACTGAATAGTTAAATAATCTTGTCCAGTGAAGTTTAATTGAAAATTTGACATCTTTACTGACAAAGTCATCTTCTCTTGTTTGTTTGTTCACATGAAGCAATACGATGTGGTTTTCTTACCCCCTGAAATCTGACGAAAGTGTAACCCATAGATAAGATGAGGCCCTTCTACAGACTGGTTTTTGTCATCAAAATTTGGCTTATCTACAGTAATATATGGTATATGAACAAACAATCCAGCTCATCCTGACTACCAACACCAGTAGAACCATCACCTGCCACACAAGCTATAAGGGGCTGTGGCTGGCCAAGTGTTAATGACACACACACGTCAACTTACAGTTAATGGCAAGATGTAGTATGCATCAAATGCAATGAGGAGACACACTATGGCTGTCACAAAGTAGTAGATGGCTGAAGTCCTGATGTTTGGCGCAACTGTAGAAATAGAGTGAGAGTGTCAGTGAGTTTAGTTTTACGTCGCACTCAGCAATATTCCAGCTATATGGCAGTGGTCTGTAAATAATCGAGTCCAGACAATCCAGTGATCAACAGCATGAGCATTGATCTGTGCATTTGGGAACCAATGACATGTGTCAACCAAGTCAACGAGCCTGACCACCCAATCCCGTTAGTCGACTCTTACGACAAGCATGGGTTACTGAAGATCAATATTCTAACCCCGATCTTCACGGGTATGTAGAAAAAGAGAACACTGGCAATTAAAATACATTAATTTTGTTCCCTGAATTTATTCTTCAGCAGACACTTGTTCATATTCAACACAAATATTCTTAAGAGGTACATGTAATATGATAATTACATCTTTCCCATAACATGATCAAGTATCTATATTGAATTGTTGCTATGTGAGCCTAAATATCAGCTGATATGGAAAAAAATATAAATCTCCAGTCATTTGCCTTCAAAATCTTATTATACTGAGATAGGTATGACTTAGAGATAAAAATTTCATTTTCATGTCTGTGGTAACCACAGGAATAAGGCAACCATAATCCTGAGGTAATGTTTACACCATTATTATGTTATTATCCTGTTGATTATCTTCTAAAATAATAGCGCAAAAGGCTACATGTTTAATCCTATTGTCATTTCATATAGTAAGATATAAACATTTAATTTTCTGAATAAAATTGATATTTTATACTTATCCTGACTCATGCTTATTGCATGTCTCCCTTTCCTTCCGAATGCTAGTGGAACACTTGAATCCCCTTTGAAGCTCCCTTCAAAAAAGCAAACGTAAAATCACTTACCAGGAGTCACCTCCCTTGCCAGGTTTTGGCGGGAATGGCGCCACCCGTCTCCCATGCTCTTCACTCTCTCTGTATTTATAGCCCGACACACTGGTTTACTGGGAAATCCAGAGTGACTTGAGGGGAGGTTGGGAGGGCTTACCTCATGAGTCAGGATAAGTATAAAATATCAATTTTATTCAGAAAATTACATATTTTTCCTTATCCTGACTCATGCTTATTGCTTGTAGAATCCGACGGTATAGGTGGTGGGTCAAGCCACCTCTGGATTCCTTAGTGATGAATTTACGTACTATATACCCCCATGGGAACTTTAAATAGCACTGCTGCTGTTGATCCATATGTCAAAATAATTTGGTAATTTGGGGGGACCACAATATATCAAACTCTTCTGTAACCGTACATGTGGATTTAAATAACTCCAACTCTTGATGTTCGTATCAAGTGGAGTAGTGACCCTATCCATGTACAAGTAATTCCTTACAAGTACAGGGTCCAATATTCATGCTAGTCTGTTCTAGACGTGTATATGGACTATAAGCTCTATTCCTTTGAGTACGAGCTTTGCATGACATGCGATAAAAGGGCGAGATACATCTCAGCGCCTTTGAGGGACCGTCAGCTGTTGAGCTACAACCAGAGGTCCAAACAGGTGGATACCAGCGACATCCTCCGTAGCAATGTCTCTGAGGTAGTGGTTAGCAAATACAGTCTCCGATTTCCAAAAACACCCTTCCATGATCGTGGATATTGAGCAGTTTCCATGTAGAGCGAGTGTAGATGCCAGTGCTCTAACTTCGTGCGGATTCGAGGCTCGAGGAGGCTCAAGTCCTGCTACCTTGTAGGTTTGTAGTATGAATGCTCTCATCCAAACTGATATCGTAGTACGTGAGATTTCTGTGGGTGTCGCTGACGATATTGGGATGAAAAGGCATTTGAATTTTCGTCTCCTGGTTTTAGACTTTTGTAGATATATTTTCAGCGTGCTGACTGGACATAAGGATAAATCTTGTACATCCTGCGGACCAAGGATTGTAGATAATGCTGGGATGTGGAATTGTGAAATCCCACCTCAATCCTAGATGAACCATGTTGTGACATGTGTCAAACCGTATCCGTTCAAAGTCCAGCGCATGTATTGCTGACATCTGCGCCGCTGTTGCCAAGGCGATCAGAAATAGCGTTTTCTGTGTAAGAAATTCGTAAGAAGTTCTTTCTAGTGGTTTGTACACATCACTGGTGAGAGGGTCGTAATACCACGTTGAGATCCCAAGCCGGTGCTTTAAATTCCCTTTGTTGGTCTTCCAGTTTAAAAGAGTGTAGCAAGGCCAGTAACTCTGGCACTTTCGTCAGTTTCACACCTGTCTTCATAGTGATAACTGAGCTGAGAACCGCTAGGTATGTAGATAATGTCGAACCTTTTAATTTCTTCACTTGTCTGAGATGACAAAGATATTCCGCCACTTGAGGATGTGTTGCTTTCACTGCAGTGAAACCTTTCCTCGATGCATATTTCTCAAAGCTTTGCCACTTGTCGTCATACAAGTTACGAGTAGATCTGCGTAAAGCTAGTGTAACTGCTTTCGCTGCTCTGGCAGAGTATCCTCTTTTCGACAAGCAATTGCGTGATCGTTCCCATACGTGTAGGTGGAATAATCTGGTATACTTGTGAACTTGCTTGGTGTGAGGATGAATTAGTTGGTTCGACCAAACTGGAAGTTGCATTGCTGGTTTTCGATTTCTTGTAAGAGAAGCGGGTACGCGTTCTTGCTGGCCAGTAAAAGCGACCAAAATCAGTTGTATATTGTTTGTCTGCTTGATTTTCTGTAATACCTGTGGTATTAACGGTGGCAGAGGGAACGTGCAGCGTTTAGCCCTTCCCATGGGATGCTTAGAAGCGTCTGTAAGCCCATGCTTGCGGATAGGGAATTGGAGGGACCGAATGTTGCCAGTTGATTGTTGAATCTCGCGTGGCGAATAGGTCTCGAAGTGGAGATCCTATCGTCTGTATGATGCATCTGAGCGCTTGTGGATGTAACATCCATTCTGTTGGGGATGGTTGATGTGGTCGAGATAAGCATCTGCTATTACATTCCTGTCTCCCGGAATGTGACATGCTTTCACATAAATGTTGAGATTGTCTATTACGTTGAATAGTTGAAAGCTGAGGTCTAGAAGATTCCAAGATCTTGTTGATCCTTGTTTGTTTATGTAGAATGCCACTGTTGAGTTGTGCGTATGGATCATCAATTTTGCGTTCCTTAGTAAGTTGGACCAATGTAGTAGGGCATTTACTACTGCTTTCATCTCGAGCATGTTGATATGCAGATTCATTTCTTGTTTCGACCATTTCCCGGCAACCACTTCGTTGTCGAGGTGTGCTCCCCAACCGTGCAGTGATGCGTCTGTGTAGAGGTGGACGTTGCACTCCAGCTCTATTAAGTAATTTCCGCCGCAAACATTCGACTTCTGAGTCCACCATAGTAGATATGGTTTTAGCCTGTCTGGTATTTCGAAGGGATCCAGACTGTGTAAGTGGGCGTTCACAAATCTCTTTAGTGGACGCAGTTGTAGTCTCCCTCTGCGTGTCATGTCTTGAGCTGACGTGAGGAGACCTAATAGGCTCTGCCATTCTCATAGTGGTAACAGAGAGAGTAGAACTTGAGAGATCATTTGTTGAATCTTGATCCAACGATCCTCTGGAACGAGAATGTGATTCTTCGTTGTTATAAGCTGTATTCCTAGGAATTGCAAGTCCTGAGTAGGCTCTAGTTCCGACTTGAGGAGATTTACTAGCCATCCTAGTTGAGTGAGAAGTCTGATGGTGAAGTTCAGTTGCAGTCTGAGTTGACTGGGATTTTGCTGACCTTGAATCCGTCGTTTAGGTAGAGAACGACTCGCGTGAGACCTCGACGATGTAGATATATATTGATGGGCTTTGTCACTCGAGAAAACAACCAGGGGGCCGACGATATTCCAAATGGCAGGACCTTCTATTGGAAATGACGTCCGTTGAACAGGAATCGTAGATATTTCCTTGACTCCTGATGGATCGGGATGTGTAAGTATGCATCCTGTAAATCTATGCTAGCGAGATAGTCTAGCGGACGTATGAGCTGTCGTAGCTGTGGAAGATGTATCATCTTGAACTTTGCAGGTGGTAGGAGGTAATCTTTGTTGAATTTCCTCATGTTGTAAACGAGTCGGAAGTTTTCTTTTGAATTTTTCTTTGGTACCAGAACAATTGGGCAGTCGAAACCTGGTGTGACGCAGTGTTTTATCTCTTCTATTGCCTCTTTCTCTAGTAGAGATGTGATGGCTTCTAGTAGATTTCCCTTCTGGTCTGCAGCGTAGTTGTGAACGATAGGGTTGATTTGTTACTGGTGGTACTGCTTGTAGCTGTATCCTGTAACCTGTGCATAGAATCTGAGATATGAAGTCGTCTTGAAGAATTCCCCAATTCTTCCAGTAGAGTTGCAGACGTCCACCCACTTGTGAGGGTTGTACTGGAACGGCTGAGGGTGGAAGACTCCAGTCGTTCCGAACATGTATTTCATCGTCTGGAACTTCTGGCGCCTCAAAAGGGCCGACCTCTTCCGTAGTTACCTCTTGGAGCTGCGGATGGGCGACTAAAAGAATCCTTATTTCCTTTAGCGTTGCCTGATTTCTTATCCCTTGCGCTCTGCAATCTTCGATTTGCCGGAATAATGTTGGGAGGTCTGACGTATTACACTGGCCAGTGTATCGATAGACTTGATCATCATTACTTCTCGGGAATCTTTAGCGACTTCCTTGGCGACTTCACCAATTTCTCCTGCAAAAATGGATGGTGCTGACCAAGGGGCTCTGTAGAGTGTCTTGGTAAACTTCTCGCTCCAAGTACATGAAGATAACAATCCTTGCCTTCTTGATAATGTTAAGCCTGCAGAAATGGATGATAGGCGTTCAGACATGAACTGATGATCCTTTTTCTGTGTAAGTAGAGCTGAATAAATCATTCTATCTTCCTCTGAAGTTGAATTCTTAAACTTCAAGATGAGAGTCTCGTTGATAGCGTTTGACCTGGCTAGGCCGAAGAAGGTCCGTCTGGTTACTGTGTCTAACTGTGCAAGCTTTTTATCTTCTATCTTGTAAGCTTTAGTCCGAGTGTCGTTGATGATCTTATAATTCTCATCTATCTCTGGGGCCTTCATGAAGGGTTCCATGTGGTGTAGAGAGAACTTCTTAGCGTTGAACGACGGAATACTCTGAGTCTGGTATTAGTTGCCTTCTTGAAGGCTGTGCTGAGGTTGTCTGGAAGGTCTAAGACTGGGTCGATAGCTGGCATCGTGAATGAGTCTATATCATCATTCACCATCAAGTATGATAGTGCTTCGTTGGTCTCCTTAGAGGGTGATGCGAGTTCCAAACCATTGGCCATCCATGACGTGACTTCCGAGTCTGAAAATATAATTCCGCCGTCATCTTCCTGCTCTGAGGATGGATTTCTTCTATTGTCGTCTGAACAAGGAGATCTGTAAGGTGATCTGTAAGACGATCTGTGTGGTGACCTGCGAGGCGATCTGTAAGGCGACCTGCTTGGTGACCTTTGTAGTGAACCATACGAATGTGTTCTTGACATCCTACGTGGGGACCTGCGTGGAGATAGAGATGACCGTGCGTGCCTTCGAGCGAACCTGCGTGTTGGTGAACGGCTTTGTCGAGGGTTGAAGTCTTGTGACAAATCTCTATGCCTTCGTACGGATGTTGATTCTCTTCTCCTTGGTAACAACCATTGTGCGCAGGTTCGTGACGAACGTCCGTATCTGACGTCGATGATGATCTGTGTGGATTCGGCGAACGTCTGGTCCTTCAGTCGGACGTAGTTGGTGGTATGGCTGCCAGGTATTCGTGCGGACGCTGTAGTTGAGCTGGAATCTTCCTGAATGCTCTGCAGGACGTTGGTTCCCAGCGGACGTGGTGTGCTGCTCAGTTGACCTTCACTCGGGTTCATTGCAGACGTTGTCTTCGTCGCAGCTCTCTCGCGTGCGAACCGTTGTTCCATCAGATCCAACATCTGTTGGGTAAATTGCTGCATAAAGGCGTCCGGGTTGAAGGTCTGCGTTGTCTGTTGTACTGACGACGCATCTGAGACGGATGAGGCTTCTTCCGAAGGGCCTAACGTCTGCATTGATAGGATGTCCTGCGTGGTCACTGTAGAAGACGTCTTCGTCTTCTTCTTAGGTGTGATCTCAGGGATGAGGATGGGCGGCTCATAGTAGACATCTATTTCTTCCAGAGGGACGATCTCAGCTGCTCTGCTAGCCCCGTGTGGAGACTTCGCTGAAGTCTTAGCTGTAGCTGCCTTCTTCCTCTGGGGAGACGATGCCCTAGTCTTCTTAGACTACGAAGAGGGTGTCTCAGATGTAGATGACCTCTTCCTCGAGCCAGCGTTGTGTAAGGCGGCAACCTCCTCCGTAGACGACCCCGGTAGACCACTGGAATAGTGTATCTGCGCAGACACCAACTGCCGGTCCTCTGCAAGCTCAGCCGGTTTAGACATGTCGTGAAATTCTCGTCTGGACCTGTCCTTCGCACGTCTAGACAGATAATATGAATATTTGTAAAGTGCAATATCAGACAGGTGAAAACACGACTGACAACGAGTGTCAGATAAACATATAGGCTTGCAATTAGGACATAGGTTATGCGGATCAACATCAGACAAACGATACCTACAATCAGAACAAGATTTCATCAATTGTAAACAATGTGAATAATCACGTAAAAACGTGACAAAAACGGAGAAATTTGAGAATTAATTCCGTACAATATTGTAGGTAAATGTTAACTAAAGCCTTATACAGCTAATTTAGAAGAAAAGCCTAAATAATAAAAGGATATAAAGCCGTATAGGGGACCAGGTGCTCTCACAACCGCCCACTCGGGCGAATCAGGAGAGAGTGAAGAGCATGGGAGACGGGTGGCGCAGTTCCCGCCAAAACCTGGCAAGGGAGGTGACTCCTGGTAAGTGATTTTACGTTTGCTTTTTTGAAGGGAGCTTCAAAAGGGGATTCAAGTGTTCCACTAGCATTCGGAAGGAAAGGGAGACAAGCAATAAGCATGAGTCAGGATAAGGAAAAATAGATGATATCTGCTGTTACCCAACATGCTGCTCAGTACAAGGGGTAAGACAAGGACTAGCTAGTTCAGAGTCTGTACAATGTCACATATCCATCTAACCTTCAGCATGGTATCTCAGTGGGCAAACATATGTCAAGGCTACCTCTAGCAGCCACACATACATGAGCAAGAAATGTCTCACTATAACCTGGATAATATTTTGATATCAATAATATTTTGATATTAATAATATTTTAATAAAGTCAGTTAGATGCACCTCTATGAAGTACTTACTGACAATGCATATAATATTGAAGGCAGCAACTAAAGTTCCAGATACATTCTGAAAAAAAGAAAATACAAAAAATAATTATGCAAAGCCAACTTGAGCTATAGAATTGTTTTAAGCAAAACAACAACATTCATTTTTTATTATCATGAAAAGTTTAAAAAATCATCTAATATTCAAGGCTGTTTATTGCAACCTAATACAGGTATGGTGTCCATCCTAACACTGGCACCATACTTTCTCCCTAATGACAACATGGTCCATTGATAATATACTTCAGTGAATCTAAATGAGAATTTTTCAACACTTACATTTCCAAGGATGATGGCGTTTGTGAATTTCATGGGCAGATTGGCTGCTACACCATACATGCTGTTCTGGTATATGCCACATGCCACTGGAAGACAAAACCAATGAAGTACTAAACCATAACACTGGTGACAAAGTTTGTAAAGGGGAGTAACTCTCACAGCCTTGTTGCTGTTTGGGGCATTGGATATTTCAGTTCATTTTCAGGTGAAAAATTCTGATATCTGAAAGCTTACCATGAGTGTGTGCGCACGCATGCAAGCACGCACACACATACCTACCTATGGACAATCATTTAAATCATTATTAAGGTGAAACTCCGCTTGTATGAGCTGCCTGTCCACAATGTATATCCCCTCAATGACAGATTCAGAATCATAGTGGATTCAGTAGTTATCTAAATTACAACAATGGAACAAAGCAATTGGTCCACCAATCATGTAAATATACAAAACGCCTGAATATTGAAACAAAAACCAACCACGAATACAAATACAGATCAACCTACTGTTTAAAACTGCTACAGATGCCATAGTGATCCAGAAGAAAGCTTCTGGCCCTGAAACAAACACACATTTATATTTATGAATATACTAAAGCTGACAATCACACAAACATAAAACTAGGATTGCCTCAAGGGCAATACTGACGGTCTTCAGACTTCCCCCATACACCCCCCGTGGCTACCTTTACTTGTACCGTTTCTTTGGACGCCAGCTGGACCGTCAATTTTAACTCTCGGAGTTACGGGTGTTTGAAGAGTATTTAAGGGCTAGAAAGCGTTCAAAACCCAGGCAGAACACGTTTTTGACACGAGAGCGGATCGGTGAAATGCAGCCGGGTCGCGGGGTCATGTACCTTTAAGTAGTTCCAACAGAAGGTATAGTTCTTTCTTTAACTGTCTGTAGCTCCGCCGTCCTTGGGCCTACGGTCCAAACGATTAGTGTTCTGGAATCGCCGTGATCCTAGCTATCTGACGCATACACGTATGTGCAAATACTGCACTTGTGAAGGATAATGCCGATGTAACGCTATTTCTTTGGGCATTGGATGACGTTCCAACTCAGATTTGACAGCTCCTTGTCATTGTCAATTACATCTGCCGTTGAAATTGACATCGTCTCCCATATCTGCACGTGGACCACGCTTTGCAGTGGTAGTCTCTTTATAGGAGATATATGTTCTCCCCGCGTGAGCGCTCATCTGATAGTGAACCACCTGAGGGAAGTTTATCTGTATTATAAATTGCAACTGTGTGATGTGACTAACAAACTGCCTGCTTTTAAATTTAGTGCTATGACTTTTTCTGTTTTTAAATGACAACGTAATGAATAGATGTTTTTTTAAATAAAACTCATTTTGACTCTGTACTTACCATGTGTACTAATGCAGACTTGTTCTTATCACTATATGGCTGGCTGGAATAAAGCGACGTAAAGCCCAACTCAACTCAACCCAACCTTTAAAAAAATTACTGTGGTGCGGTTAAAGGCCGGGGTTCCAACCTGAGATTAATTTGGCATTGATTCAATGCTGCTGACACAAACGGAAAATTCACAAACTGCAGAAAAACATATACTATAAGAGAGATTACTGGTACATGTTGCAGACTGCTGGAGAGATCACATCCTGGCAATTCCAGAACACTAATTCTTTTGAATGTAGACCTATGAACAACAGAGTTACGGCCTGTTAAAGAGGGAACTATTTCTGTGGGCACTGGAAAACCAGGACACGGGCAGTGGTGCTAGATTTTACGACACTTCCTGCAGCTATCTCACAACTGAAAAAATGCGAAATCCTAATGTCCCTCACTGTTTGTGGCGTAATTGTGGCGTAACTATTGACTTTTACATAATGATAATGTGAAGCAAAATTGTTCCACATTTTACTGTCTACAGTTTGGTACCTTCAAAAAGAAAATCCATTGTGTTTTCGCAGAGCTGTGAACCCTATAAAAATGCGTTTGGCCAAAAATTGACCAACTTCCAAGGGCAATAACTCCGACACTATTCAAGATATCAATATGCATTGAACAACCTAAGTAGTCCAGAGTGTGGGCTTTAAAACGATATATAGAACACTATTGTACTATTTGCCGTTCAGGAGCAGAGGATTGTTAAACAGAGGCACCGTCAAAAAGGTGCAGAAATTTGCGAAATCGCGAAGGCTGTGTTTGCGTCGTAATGGTGACGTTATTATTGATTTTTTCATAACCATGATGTGAACCAAAAATGTTTCCCATCCAATTACCTACAGTTTGATACTATGGAAGATGGAATTCATTGATTTTCCGCAGAGTTGTGACCTCTTTCTTAACCTTATAAAAATGCGTCTTAAAAAATTCACTGACTTCCAAGGGCGATAACTCTTAAACTATTCAAGATATCGATATGCCTTGAAGGGTTTAAGTAGTCCGGAGTGTGGGTTTTAAAATGATATATCGAACGCGATTGTACTATATGCCGTTCTGGAGAAGAAGTTTTTTAAAGACAGGCACCGTCAAAACGAGGAAATCGGCAAAAATTTCAGTTTTTTCAAAATTGCGGAAAATTTATTCTGCCGCGAAACTTCGGCTATGGTTTGAATCCATGGGGAAGGTTGTTGTCTACATTGAGTGAAAATTTGGTCAATTTATCTCTAATAGTATTGGAGATATAGACGTTGAAAAAGTTTGAAATATTTTGACATTTTGGGTTCTCTGCCCTTACCGGAAGCCGGAAGTCTGGATTTTTTCGACTATGTATCAATTTCAGCACACAGGCTATCACCTCTGAAAGTTTCATGAAAATCGGCCCAGCGGTTAGGTCAGGAGAGCTGTCACAAAAATTGTACAAATAATAATAAGAAGAAGAAGAATAAGAATAATATTCGGATAATAACAGTAGTTCTTCCAGACTTTCGTCTGAAGACCTAATAACATTTCATAATTGCCCATGAAAACATCAACATTTCTTATTCTCAGAGATTAAAAAGTTCTAATTTACCGTCCTTGTGCATGAAAAATAATCATTTTATAACTCTCATAACATCAAAAAACATGATACAATTGCAAAATGTAAACGATACATAAAACATAATCAAACCAACTCTTTCAAAGCTAAATATCAATACAGTTTTGAATGTATCAATAATTGTATCGTCTTAGAAAAAGTATCGATGCATTGATGTATCGTGGGCATCCCTACAAACTGGTATCAGCAAAAGAAGCACAACAGCTGTACCTACCCTCCACATTGACAGAAGAGGTTGAACGCACTCATCAAGACGTTGGGCACATGGGAGAAGATTCCCACATAGCTCATGAAGTTCTTACTGTACTCAACTACTCTTTCATTTGAGACATCTGTTGAATTTAACTTGTAATTCTCAAAATACTGAAAATAAACCCAGAATAGTGGATCAGTTTCACACCATAGACAGGATGAAAGTGTAGGTATTTGACTGACGGACTAACTGACTGAGTTTGGTTTTATGCCGCTTTTAGCAATATTCCAGCAACATCACAGCGGGGGACACCAAAATGGGCTTCCCACATTGTACCCATGTGGAGAATCGAACCCAGGTCTTCGGCATGACGAGCCAACGCTTTAACCACTAGTTTCCCCACCGCCCCGTAGGTATTTGTCTTTCATCAACTTGCCTTATACTCACTATATACTGACTACATCATTCAGGTATAGTATAGTATCATGTTTCTTTGTTATTTGTTACTTCCAAAGCAAGTGTCGTGTCTACTTCTCAAGTTGTAAACTGATGATTATTACCATGTGAATGATGTGGACAATAGTGAGGGCATCGTAACCAGGTTAATGAAGTGAGTGAGTGAGATTAATTTTACACCGCACTCAGCAATATTCCAGCTATATGGCAGCGGTCTGTAAATAATCGGGTCTGGACCAGACAATATAGTGATCAACAGCATAAGCATCGATCTATGCAATTGGGATACAATGACATGTGCCAACCAAGTCAGTGAGCCTGACCACCTGATCCTGTTAGTTGCCTCTTACAACAAACATGCATTACTGAAGATCAATTCTAACCCGGATCTTCACGGTCATGTTAATGAAGGAATAGTGTTTGGAATAAACTTGTTGAAACATTTAACAATAATTCATAAAAGTACAACTCTAAACATGTGATATGAAGTTAAAGTGCATTATGAAAGGTTGGAATAGAAATGTTTGATTCGGAAATGTTCATAATTTGACCATTATTTAAAAGATATTAAAACGTATGTCTGTGTGGCTCAGTTGTTTAAGATCAACAATACAATAAAATCCATTCAAGATGATATATAAACACAGGAACAGAGAAATCAATTTTACTCTAAGTGTTTGTGAATTAATCTGAGACACTTTAGCTCATGAACAAACAGCAGGTAAATCATGTTGCAAACATGGTAAATAAGAATACAGTATTTTAGCAAAGTCTTGGTGTTTGTTTTGGTTTGTTTCTAATGAAACTTCTGCAAAGCAAATGAAACTTAGATTCAGCTGTTTCCAAAAACCAAAAGCCAAACTGTACATCTGAGCATATAACAAACAAGTGACAATTGGCAGCACTTACAGCTTTGGCATTTATGAACATGTTCCAAGGCATCAGGATTGCTAACCCATGAATAACCATTATAATGTAAACAAGGAAAAACCTGCAACAGAATATAGTTCATATATAATACATGTGTAGTTAACATCACTAAATGTCAGCTGATTATATAGATCTGGTTACACTGACTGACTGAGTTTAGTTTTACTCCGCTTTTAGCAATATTTCAGCAATATCACGGCGGGGGACACCAGAAATGGGCTTAACACATTGTGCCCATGTGGGGAATCGAACCCGGGTCTTCGGCGTGACGAGCCAACGCTTTAACCACTAGGCTACCCCACCGCCCCAGATCTGGTTACAACAATATGAAAAACATGTCTGTTGGCCCTGGGCAAACAAAGTATCCAATGGCCAATAAACTGGGTTTACCAGGTTTAGAGTTTTTTTTGTCGATTCACAATGAATCATAACATTTTCTGGAAGATGATTGATTCAGGGAAGAATTTACTTAAACATCATAACATTGGCATTGTATGAGTGAGTGAGTGAGTGAGTGAGTGAGTGAGTGAGTGAGTGAGTGAGTGAGTGAGTGAGTGAGTGAGTGAGTGAGTGAGTGAGTGAGTGAGTGAGTGAGTGAGTGAGTGAGTGAGTGAGTGAGTGAGTGAGTGAGTGAGTGAGTGAGTGAGTGAGTGAGTGAGTGAAAGACGTAATGCAGATGTCAGATGTACGACATGGAAAACCCCATGTACACTGCTATGGATAGACCAAGGACTAGAACCAATGATCACATGTGATCTGCCTAAGGGACACAACTAATATGCAGTGTCTTAGATGACAGGGTAATCTATAAACATTGATAAAAAATAAGACATGAATATATGAATATCTTACAATAATTCTCCTTCTGAATTCATGTTCACTGTCTAAATTTTCAATACAAACCACAAAATATAAAATGTAAAACACAACTTGATGACCAGTTGTACATATTGTGTCGTAGCAAAGCTGTCAAGCACAAACAAATTAATTGAATAGCCTGAACTACCTGTCCGATGGCTGCCGTTTTTCTAGTTCTTCCACTTTAGTCTGAAGGCGGAAGTTGAGTTCATCAGGGTTGCGATCCGTTGCCTCCCAACCTGGGTCAAGTTTTACTGGTGGCGGAAGGAAACGAAGCCGCTCCTCCGAAGTGCCACCATCTGAAGACATTTCAAATTTTCATTATTTTCTTCGTTTAATCTGACATTAATTATCATTCTGTTCATCAGTCCTATTTACCTTGATCCCCACAGTGCTGTTTACACTGACAAGCTATCAGCCAAGCAACACAGCCTGATCATACATCCCTTCGATATTAACAGCTAAAACTGGCATGGAATATTGGGATATTGGGATTTGGGGATACTGAGATACTGAGGACATATTATCATTATTATAACCCAGATTTCCCACAGCGTCTCCATCATGATGACTAGCAATGAGCTAAGTTACACATCTTGACCTATTTAAGTTTCATGCTATGCATGAGATACTGGGATACTGTTTGTTTGTTGTTTTACACAGCAATCATGAATATTCCAGCTATATGGCAGCAGTCTGTAAATAATCGAGTCTGGACCAGACAATCCAATGATCAGCAGCATGAGCACCGATCGACACAACTGGAATATGATGGCATGTGTCAACCAAGTCAGCAGGCCTGATCATCCAATCTTGTCAGTCGCCTCTTAAGACAAGCATGGGTTGCTGAAGACCTACTCTAACCCAGATCTGGGATACTGGGATACTGAGGACCTAGTCGAACGCAGATTCCCCCCCAGCATCTCTATAATGATGACAACAATGAGCCAAGTTAAGCAGCCTGCCCTTGTCAACTTTAATCACAGGTATGGGATACGGGGATAGTGAAGACCTAGATTCCAGAGTGGGTCTCTCTTTCATGATACAAAAAATCAATGACCCAAGTTCACAGCCGGACTAGACATCCTTTCCAAGTCAACTGTTATGACAGGCACAGGAAACTGGGATACTTGGATAATTAAGCCCCATTTTAACCTAGATTCCATGCAGGGTCTCTCTTTCATCATATTCCTGATGACAAGCAATGCATGGTTACAGGGTATGAATCCTCCCCTTAGTGCACCAAGGTTTCAGTCTAGTAAGCTCTTTCTTAATCATTCATGTGTGGTTGTGTTTGTAGCATGAAGTCCTTAATTTTCCTTTCCTTTACACAAAAGACCTTGGACAAGATGACATTGTCAACTGAATCTACACTAACTGACTGAACATAAATGACATCAATCACAAAATGGCCTGTAAATGTGTGGGTCTACATTGACTAGAAAACTATTATAGTTTAAGAGTTGTCCAAGCTCACACATGCCTGATCTAATTAATTTTCACATATCGACTCATTCAGGGTAGCTGAGGGTATGATTTCTAAAAAGTTATTGACTCCTTGCAATCCGAATGTTGTTAAGTCCCTGTGAATTGGATTCAGTATAGAAATCAAGTGTAGTTTATTACACATAATGATTTCCTACTTGTCTGTACTTACAGGGATAGAACTGTAGGCTTTTTTGCACACATGCCATGGGGCAAACATGTATTCAAAGGTCTCTAAGTTTCAGCATCATGTATGTATATAATACACGAGTTGTTAACTGACTACATGTTTGACATCCAGAAATGCCTCCAGTATTAATTGTTCACTTAACCATGTCAACATAAATTTACAATCTTCGTGTCAGTTTGTACAGTTTATGAATAAATATAGCTGATGGATCACAATAAATCATGAATCTGCCTCCAGCATATATTGCTCAACATGGACATGCAAAGTTCATCTAACAATTACACCACCAGGTCAAGGGTCTTCTTGTAAAGGCAGAAATTAACAGCTAAGAGCTAAATCAATAAGACACTTATTATGCTTAAATTTTAAGAGATTACAAGTAACAGGAAGCAAAAATATATACAATTGTTACTTTGAGGTTTATTGCGTTTACATTTACTGGCAAATAAGGAAATGTTTACATTTGCTGTCAATACATTTCACATGAAGGTTACCAATGATGTTGGAAATAAATGATAAATAATATATTAAAGCCTTGTCAAAGCAATAAATTAATGGCATGTATTTTCAAGGCATCTATGTCAAAACCTTGTCAAGTTATAACTTCAGAGCCTTTTCAAAAAGAGCAACTGCTAACTTCATGACTACAATTTTCAGCATCATCATTTTGCCATTTTTGTTCATTAGTTGAATCCATTGTCTAATACATTTCTTCTGTTTTTTAAGCAAGAACAGTTTATTCTATACCATACACTGAGACCAAAATCTACAGACATAAAAACCAAACTACAAAATCGTTCTCACCTGGTGTGCCATTTCGGTTTGGTGGATTTTTCCACGGATTCGCATAGAGACTATTGGTCACAACGTGGGTATTCTCTTCCTCCCCGCCCCGTTTCCCGAACGTTGAGAGGGGTAGAGCTTCCCCGCGTGCTGTGTTGCGTGATGTCATGGCTAATGATGATTATATTCCGAACAAAGATCAGCTTCCACTACAGTTCCATCACAGCATACATCTGAAACAAAACCATGCAGTCAGGCTATTCAAAATTCCAACAATGTTCACTCTCATTCCATGGCGGTTGGGTAGTCTTGTGGTTAAAGCGTTCGCTCGTTATACTAAAGGCCTGGGTTCGTTTTCCTACAAGTACAAGGGTACAATACGTGAAGCCCATTTCTAATGTCCCCCTGCTGTGATATTGCTGAAATATTGCTAAAAGGAGAGTAAAACTAACCTCACTCACTCAAACTTCCAACCATGTTCACTCTGGTACGACAGTTGTGACAAGTCTAAATGGCTCAGACACCACTTTAAAACAAGTAGAAACTGATAAGGAAACAGACACGTCATTGGATAATGTCCAACAAGAAAACCTGTGTTTTTTTTGTCAATGAATAATCCTCTTACCTCGTAACCACTATGTACATTATTCCCATTGGTTTGTCAAGTTAGAAATGCCAGATGATGGATATGCAACAATTAAATGTGTTTAAGCTCTTTGACTTGATTGATGCAGGATTATCACCATGTTTAACACACCTTTCTCATAAAATATGCTTGAAAATATATGTTCTCACAAAGCTGGCGTTCTGCTTTGAATAATATCTAAAACAATCAAACAAAACAAGGCTGCTACAGGGCTGGAAATAACTTTAAAATTGCTAGTGTACTCCGGTACAGTGGCACATGTAAAATCACTTGCCCTGATAATTTTTCCACTATACAGGCCGTTTTCTTGTTGATTTTTTAAATAAACAACATAATTAATATTGGAAAGTCAACTGGACACCAGTACAGTGTGATATACAAATTTGCATGCCCGACAGATAAAAACACTGGACTCGGCGTCGGCCAATGGGTTATTTCCACCCCTGCTGCTAACATTTTTAAATTGTAATTTTTTAATGCATCAATGAAAGTTTTTGGTCCCTGCAAGTTACTTAAAATCATAAAAGTGACATCAAGACTTCCTTTTATAAATGTTATAACAGTTTGTGAGTGAGTATGGTTTTATGCCATTTTTACCAATATTCCAGCAATATCATGGCAGGGGACACCAGAAATGGGCTTCACACATTGTACCCATGTAGGGAATCGAACCCGGTGTTCGACGTGACGAGCCAATGCTTTTACCACTAGGCTACCCCACCACCCCAAGTTATAACAGATGAAGCATTAATTTTGATCATGTTAAAGCAGACTGGTCTAAAAAATAAAGTTCAGTTGCACAAAAAAAAAAAATTCTTGCAACTTGTCTTACTAAAGGGAATTGGTAAGCAAAAATCGAAGATCCCATGATACTATGTAATTAAAACAGCTTCGTGTAATCATGAGTTACTTTATCTGAGCAGTTCAAAATGTTAAAAGGTTGTCTGTTGCAGAGTGTTCAATGTTCAGGAATTTGTCTTGGATTCTTAACTATAGTGAATCTGGCAGGTGAATTGGTGAAAAAGATTGTTATTTTGTTCAAAATTTGGAATTTTACATAATATTATATATTTTAGGCATTTTAACACTAAAGGCAAGATAGTTTATCAATGACAACTACTTCATATTATTATCATTATTGCGATGCAATGGTTTAGAAAAGATCTTTGTACCATATTAACACTGTTCTGAGTTTGAATTAAGAAACAAATCAATGATTTTCATCAAGAACCGCAAACCAGGAAACTATCCAAATTGATAGATCGATGCTCATGCTGTTGATCACAGGCTTGTGTGGTCCAGACTCGATAATGAACACACCGCTGACATATAGCTGGATTATTGCTGTGTATGGCATTAAAAAACAAATACACACCAGGAAACAACACTGTGTTGCCATATTATCACACTATAATTGTCTTGTCACATCACTAATTTTATAAAAGCAAAATTGTTTTGGAAACTCTTGATTCAAATACTACACCGGTACACCATAACTATACTCTGATACAAATGAATAATGAACATAGTGTGTTCATATAGTTATTCCTGGCTCTGGATACTTTCGTTCAGAGCTGCAATGACAAGAAGTGTCATCATAATGATGTATCAATATTTAAGATGATTTTTATCACTTTTAAGATTTGGTGAATTAAATATTATGAAGAATACAGGCAGAAGAAATAATATCTCAAGAGAATTAAGATTTTGTCCATTTTGTAAGAACATTTTAGAAGATGAGGTTCATTTTATGTTTATTTGCCCACAATATGATAATTTAAGAACAGGATACATGTTAAATATTGACTGTAAAGATAGAAATTCTCTCATTTGCCTTCTTCAAAATGAAAATAGCAATTATTTATATATGTATGCAAATTATATTAAGGAAGCGTTTATGCGACATAGCGCATTATTATTGTGAATATATAAAAATATGTTCTAGTTATTGTGCCTTTTGTATTGTAATATATATTGTACATGGGCCTGTGGCCTTTCTACTGAATAAAGTTATATATATATCATATTCTAGGAATCAAATGCAGTGATACACAACCACAATCAGCAGGATTTGATCTGCTCTAGCACACATTCTCCTGGGAGAAACAGCCATGAATAATCCCATGAGCAATGAATCTCATGAACAGGAAAGAAATGCAGGGAAAGATTGTAACAGCTTTCAGGAATAATTGTTTATACCAATGCACATAAAACATCCGTAATAAGCATTTGAGCAGCAATGCCTGTTACCAGTGATGACACTTTTTGTTGTGCGACTGCTGTCACATCTAACAGTTGTTAACAGTGAAATAAGCACATAATGACCCAGTAGTACTATTAACTGTAATAAAGTTCATGCAATCTGTTCCATAAACCACTACAATGATGCCTGTATGCATTAATTATTGCTTGACATTTAGAAGTAGGTGTGATCCATAAGAAATTGTCCTTGTTTATGATGCTTAGTCCTGAAATGTAAGACAAACTGACAATCGTCTACAAATCAACACAATATCTGAAAATATTGAACAACAATGCAAATGGGTACTTGTCCACTGTTTTCATTGTTAGCACCTTCAAAGTAAAAGATTTTGTGGGATGATAATGACATATACACACTGGATGATAATGACATATACACACTGGATGATAATGACATTTATTACCCACGTGGTGAACGTATGGGTAGTTGCATACTAATCTCGTACGTCACACGAGTGTCATATCGCATTGATCTGTGTCGTAACGACTTGACCTGAGATTCTAATGATTTGATTGGATAACCGATGACCTCTCAGTTAGGTCACGTTGTGACGGAACTACTTGTTCATTCATAACAAACACGTGAATTCATTCATTCTACAACTTTGTTGTATTGTGGGAATGTAAACATTGCGAACGTTGCCGTGTCGCTGTTTAACTTGTAAGTCAGACTGAGACATTATATCCGTCGAAAAACATAAACGCAATGTTTCCACCAGTGATGTTAGCTGAGTGAAGCAATTGCAAACCAAGAAACGGGGTGCTTCGGAGTAGTTTACTGTAGGAGGCTGTACGAGAGGCGATGACAACTGGCATGCAGCGTGACGTCGGTTGAAAAGGGGACAGACGAGAATGGCGTAGTGACGTCAATACAGTGTGACGTCATGCAAAGTGTAATACAGAACAAAATTCTTCCGCAACCTCTTTATGAAACCGGTTTCGGTTTGAAACCATAACAATAACAAAATACGCTATTTTGTCAAATCAATGCATGTAAGACGTGGGTCATAAATAAAATACCACACTCTGTCTCATTACATTTGAATTATACGAAACTCGTGACCTTCCTATGGTTTCTGACCTCGCTTTCGCTCGGTCAGATACCATAGGAAGGACACTCGTTTCGTATAATTCGTATGTAATGAAACCTCGTGTAGTATTCTCTATATACACACTGGATGATAATGACATATACACACTGGATGATAATGACATGCACACACTGGATGACAATGACATATACATTGGATGATGACATATATACACTGGATGATAATGACATATACACATTATCATGACACGTACACACTGGATGATAATGATGTAAGCCTGTCACGGTCTGCTGTATGTCTGAACTTACTGAGCACCCCATTATTGTTATGATAATCATTATCATGTTTTGGTATCTTGATACAGTGTTACATAACAAATGAAATAAGTATGCTCAATACTGTTTTATTTCTGAAAACAGATTATAGTATACATGTGTATGGTATCAATAAACAATCCCCTTGTCAGCCTCTGAATACCTATGGCACTTACTACGGCAAACAGTATCATAAATAATTAAACATGGAAATGATTAGTACTAGCAGGATATGAGGAGTGAGTCATTTATCAGGTTGAAAATAATAACATAGATTTTAAAAATTCTGCTCAAAACATTCAATTACAACACAAAATGATAAAGTTGACATATTGTGACATCTGGACCAACCAGCTTTCAGCCATCTGCTCACTATAGTTTCAATTGTTGGATATTGATCTTTTCATGAGGCAGCAGATTGTTGAGCAATAAAGTTGATAAACAACCAACATACACCACTTTAAAGGTCAAATGCAACGTAAAACACAACTTTGCAGATTTTGATACCTTCGGTATGGACTTACCGAAACAAATCGTCAAAATGCAAATTCAACTTATAAAGTTGAAAAATAACGCGATGAAAAAGCGCGAAATCGGAGTTCAAGCGTTTCACTAATTTTCCCCAGACTTTTCTGGGGAAAGCGGGTTTCAACAGCTGGGCTGTGCTCATAGCACGTCGCGCATAAAGTAAATAGGTAGCTTGGAAGGCGGGTTGTCGGGTGAATACTTTCGGTGAAGGCTTTGGTGTGAGCTATTTTGCTAATGTTTTGTTGATATCTCACAGGCGTGAGCTTTTTATATGTTATGACAGTAAATTAACTGTTTATATAATTTCATTTTGTCTATTTCACCACACGTTCTTCTTACCGGAGACACTTTCTCAGTTCGATGCTTAAAAGCAATGTAATTATTTAGCGTTGACAGAATTTCTAACTGTGATATAGATATGTCGTTGTCAC